GTAACTTATGCAAGAGGAAGAACTTGTAAGGATGGTGCTTGGTTTATTTCTTGAATCTTCTGGTTAGTCTAAATAAGAGAGAAAAAGAAAAAAAGAAAATGGTTTCGGGGTTTTATAGGTTTGAATGCTTGATGATCGTAGAAGATATAATATCTGATTTCATTATTATCTTAGACAATTAAAAAAAACATAAGAAAGTATAGAAACAGAGTGATAAACAGAGGAGAAAAAGGGGTAGTGTGAGATTTTACTGGATTATATAAGATATGTTGTACTCAGAGAAATAAACAAGCGTGCAAACCAGAGTGCTGGATCATCCTCCCGTTGATTTGAGAGGTGAAAGACACCGTTCCAACTCGAAGAGAATTCCTCTTAGCGGTTTTGATCTAACAAAGTGAGTACTTCAATTGTGTCGCGGAGCAGTGTGGTTGTCAATCCACTGAACATTGGAGTGAGGAACAATACAACATCGCCATCAAGAAAGACAGTGACACTTTACGTGACGATCGATGGGATTATAAGGATCAACTTATCGAAGAAGCATACCGAGATTTCGCTATTTTCAAACTGACCAAAGCTTGTTAGTAAATCTGGTGTATTAGAGACTTTTTAAAGAAAAAGCGTCTCAAGATCAAAAGTTTGGGTCTTGATGTTGGAAAAGAAACTAAAATTATGTTTTGATTTCAAGAATACTATATCAAGATACCAAAACTTCTTGGTTGGTTAACTCACTTAATTTGCATGGACTTTAAAATTAGCCCTATGAAATTCCTACATAATCATACTCTTATCTTGTCCTATACCACGAGATTCAATGATATCTTCCTTTGTACCGAAAGCCAATACGACATAATCAGATTTCATTATCGTCTCTGACAAGTAAAGTACAAATGAAACTACATAAAACAGAAATAACAGAGTGAAAAACAGAGAAAACTCCTTATAGCGAAGAACATAATGTAGTGTAAACTACTGTTTATTTTAGCGGGAAACTCGGTTAAACCTATTCCGGAAAGTATTTTGTTTTAGACAAATCTTCAACTTCGACCTCAACCTTCAATGTGTCATTCACGAGAAGACCTGTAGAAGAATTCTTAAGATCAGAGAACGGCACAAACTTCTGGAATCCCCAACTGTTTGTTCGATCCGACAAGCCTTCAACTGTCAACAAGATTACGCCAAATGAGAATATAAATTAACCAAAGAACATAAAATAGAGTAAGTCATGTTCCAATACAATTACCTGATTTCTCGAAATGTTTAGAATCTTTCTGGTTTAGGATTCGTAGCTTAGCTCTTAGGTAAATCCTGTCGTAAGATATAACATCGGCCGGAGCGAGATATAGCGACACAGATTTACCCTGTCCGTCTCCATCACCGCTTGGATACAATTTCAAAGTCGTAAGAGTTGTTGCATATAGAACACATAAATGGTTAATACATATATTGAATCAGTCTATGACTCAAACTAGTTATGAGGAACTAACCAGTTTCTTCCTCCAATCTCGAACTTATCCGTGACATAGAACTCTTTATCTAGCGACGAGAATTTGGAGATTGTCCATGTGTAAAAGCGTTTATGAAAATGGTCAGTGAAGCGGAACGCTTCCCATTGTTTAAAATGTTCAGTCACGAAGATGTCGACACCGATCGACAACTGGCCATCGAAGAGGTAACCATTACCGAGATTGACGATCTCGTCTTAGGATTTAGTTCGAGGTTGTTCCCAAAATGGTTTGAATAGGGTAAAGCTCTTCGCATCCGTCTCTGTGGACATACATTTGAGGAATAAAACAGCAAAATGTGATATTTTTTAGAATTGCTCATTCTTAAAACACAAGTGTAACCATTAATGTTAAACGCAAATTCAAAACCAACAAGAAAAACGATGGAGCCCTATATAAGGGGGAATACGGATATGTACCTTGATATGTCAAGTATACATCCTCTTTCTGGTTATAAATGAAGAATTTGACTTTTGTTGACGAGTGTTGAATTGTCTATTTCGACGTAAAGCGAAACCTGTCCCTGGCCATCTTCGTTTTTGTTTCCTTTAGGATACACAATAAGTGTCCTGTGTTCAAAATGAAAATGGTGTTGCAATCTATATTCTTCATAACTTGTGATACAAGCAAATGCACAAAGTTGTGAGGAAAAGAACTCTTACCAGTTGAATCCACCGGAGGCAAAAGGACGGCATTCATACCTCAAATTGTTTGGAGAGTTAGCGAATTTTACGAAATTAGCGATTTTGAGGCAGTAAGTAGATGGCTCTTGTTTTCTCTTGAATTCTCTCCTGTCAGAGAGCTCACCTGAAGAGATTGGGCTATCGATAACGGAAATGGATGATGTTGTTCCGAGTTTCAGGAACTGAAATACAAAAATGCAACAAAAGAAGCAAACCAAGCACATTGCTCCATAGTTTGTCTTTCTCTTCTCGTCTTGAAACATGTTTTGGTTTGAGTGACTATTGGTAAGTGTGACGCTTATATATGTTTTATAAACAAAAGATTGGATTGAGTAATGGAGTTAGTTAGACACATAAATAGATACATCTATAAAAAAAGGTGAGTCACTTAATTTTTCACACGTGGTTATTAGGTAGATTGTGATTCGTTAATTAAGATTTTTCGAATTATCGACCATATCTTAATTCACCTTTTGATTGGGCCATGCACGTGTATAACATATGCTTTTCTTCGTAGTTTGAAATAATAACCTCAAAATTGTCTTTGATACATGGTTCAAAAACCAATAATAAACGTAATAAAAGTTAGTACCTAATTTATGGAAAAATTAAAGAAAAATAACTTGTACCTATTTAACATCAAGAAGAACTATCGAGAATAGTCCTTGCTGTTACATAGCTTTTCTAAAAAATATATATATTATTGCCCATCCCTAAATGTGATGTTTCTCGGCAGGTGTGGTCAGTAGCGGATTTAGAAATCATTTTTATTTGGTACATATCTAAAAAT